AAACATCCAGCTTTGATCGCCTGGCGCCCTGCAGGGAGATTCTCCTCATTCTTTCCCGCTTCTCGCCATGTGGCTGACCACAGGTAGAGTAAATGCCTCTTGGTGAGCTCACTCATCCCTTACCCGTCAGCCCCAAGTGTGCAGATAACGGATGCAGAGCTCCCGTGCACGGGGTCCTCCACCTCTGGGCTTGATCTTCCCACCCTCCCGTTCCTGCCAGATAATTAAGCTGCCAACACTGGGTGATGTTATAACTGGTCCTGGGGGTCAGGGTTTCTGGGTCTGGTCCTGGGGGTCAGGGTTTCTGGGTTATGTTCTAACCTGCACTGGGGACAAAGCATTCCCCGCCTTTGAATAGCAGAAAGGCCTGAAGCTTCGATCATGGAAATAAAAGCTTTCTTTTTTGTCTTCGTCCTTTCTTTCAAAAGCCTTTTTTTAAAAATTATTTTTATTTTTATTTTGGGAAAGACTAGATGAGGGAAATAGGAAAAAACCCAAGGGTCTTAGAGTGGAGAATGATAGTGGAGGAAAGATGACCTGATGGGGAATGGAATCTAGGATCTTGAGTGTGAGAAGCCAAACCACACATCATGTTAAATAGCATCAACTCAAATGTTAACATTTTAGATGACTGGAACTGACTTAAAGTAACTGATAACAAATTTTTTCATAATGCAGATACTTTCTCTGCCTACGTGCAATGCCCAGTATCCTATGGAACAATATCAGGCTCACATTTGAACATGTCACATTTGGTTCTCAATATTGGCTTCATTGAAATGGGTGAATTGCTCGTTTGTGACGAGCAGTGTAGTGTTCCGCTCTTCAGCGGGGCCTGCTCCCTGCTCACATCCCCACCCATGCCATGCTCACTCACATATGAACACTCTACACATGTACACACAACACACTCACAAGCAATCTCATCTTTTTTAAACAGTCTTGGTTGTATAAAAATAAGGGAGGCGGCTAAAATCATCTCTCCTAGTTTAGCTTTTTTACTCTCTTCTAGGATCTACAATGAGAATAAGATCTGGGAGTTGAAAATGGTTTTACTCCTATCACAGGCATTTGAGGCAATAATTTGTTTTGCCTCCCCTTTGAATACCTTGTGAAGTGGAGTCTGATTATTTACATGAAACGAAATGCTCTGGCTCATGTTCTGATTCAAAAGTAATTATTTTAAGTCACTTTCATTTGTCTCATTCTTGACTATTTCAGTTTCTCAAAGTATATTTTTAAAGGATGATTGTAAGCTAACAACACTACAGTAACTAATGTGTAATATCCATAATGCATTTAAGTGAAACAATAGATATGGGTCAAGATAAACTTACTGTCTGCCAGATTAATACTTATTTCCAACAAGCTGTTGCAAAAGCCACTGTAAATGGAATTTTATATTTAAATAGTCTCTTGACCCATGACTCAAAGCTGTGGCTATCACAAAATCTGCCACCTAGTAGCTGATTCTTATCAAGCTTGACAGGAGTTAATATTTGCTCATGTATTTTTTTTTCTCCTCAACCAAAGTGTGATTAATTGAAGTTTCAGCACAGACCAACAACAAAAATTGCTTTTCTTTTTCTTCCTTTGAAAGTTTACTCACCTTTTAGGTCTATTACTCACATCTCCATCTTTGAGCACTAAGAAGGAAAATTGTCTACTGTTCCTATTGTTTTTGCTTCAATGTAAGGGGAGTTTATTCCTCCTTGATGCTTCAGAGACTGTAAATTTGACTATTCTGGAACCAAAAGATTCAGATATATTTGTAGTATTGGTGGTCAAAACGTTTTACAGAAATGTTTCTTCAGTAATCTTGTCACTAAAATGAGAAAGAGATATACCATAATCTAAAAAGAACAATTCATCCCTCAATATCCCTGAACATATCAAAAGAACACGCATTCACATTTCTCAAAGCATGAGAATTCATTCCACTTAGTTCAAG